AGAGGATTGGAAGAAGTGTCTGAATCTGGATGTGTTCCACGGAGATGTGCAGAAAAGTAGATCAATCACAATGTTTTGCACCTGTCCACAAACTCGGCCACATTCAGACACTTGCTACAATCCTCTTTGCCAGTGGGATCTCGCCCTAAGCCCTGACGAAATGGGTTCGAAAAACGTGGGAAAATTTGTGGACAATGTAACATGTGCCCATAGACTGCGTTTTCAGCTCAAATGGCGCGCTATTCTTTTGGGCTGGTCACAGAAAGCGGAGTACCTCAATTTTTGACGGCTCGCGGCGTTGACGGGGAGCCAAAAGAAAGGAAAAAAAAAACATGCCCAACGCCGCAATTTATTGCACTTGTGCGGGCACAGCAGCGCTGGCCTTATATGTACTTGTAGAGCTTGCATACGTTCATTATCAGGGGGCGTTGTGTTCGGATGAAGACGGTACCACAACAACAACAACAACAAAATAACAAGAACAACAAGGAGGACGACGACGTCGACGACGGTAGTCTAGCGCTTGCTGGGTTCGTTGAACCAAATAGGGTAAACAAGGACAAGGACAACAACAACAACAACAACAACAACAACAACAACAACAACCACCACCAGCACCACCACGACAACAACAACAGGCACCCACAACTGGCACCTAGCTGGGACCTCTCCTAACACTACCACCACCACCTAAGTGGTCCCAGCACTACCACCACGACCGCCACCACAACTGGCACCTAGGTGGCACCTGGCTGGGACCTCTCCTAACTGGCAACTCTCCCAGCTGGCACCTAACTGGCACCTATGCCAGCTGGCACCACTCCCCAGCTGGCAATTAGCTGGGACCAATCTGGGACCTCTGTCAACTGTAACTAAACTGGGAGCTCCCCCAGCTCGCATGTTACTGGCACCTAGCTGGGGGGAATCTCTCCCTCCACATGGAACCAAACTGACAGGGGTCCCGGCTGGCACCTTACCAGCTGGGACCACTTCCCAGCTGGCATTTAGCTGGCAGCTAGCTGGGACCTTTCCGCAACTGGCATTTAGTTGGCACCTACCGTCTTAACCCGAAAACAAGGTACGTACCTTGTATATGAATACAAGGTGCGGGGTACCTTGTATTCGAATACAAGGTACGTACCTTGTACAACGAATTTTAGGGTGCAACTTTCCTAGAGCGAGGGGGGAAAAAAAATATATATAGTAAATGTCACAGCCCCTCGTTTGTTGTCCTCTTCTCCCTCTCTGCCTACGGTTTACCGGGCAGTTCTATTTGACGATATATAGTAAATATTAGTAATAAAGAAATAGGAGGGAACCCCACACCTGTGAATAGGCCTGTCGGGGCAAGGTACTTGCCCTTCTTCATTTTCTTTGCCTTTGTGTAGGGCTGTTGGGAAAGGTCCCTATATGTCGTTTCAGCATCAGATTTGGTGCCTGAATCTGAACGCCTTTGGGGAGAGGTGCGAAGCATCTCGATTGATCTGCTGCTATGCATCTCTGCGGAAGATACGTCCAGAACCTGGACCGTCTACATACAGCTCCAAGAAGTAGGTATGTACGTTATACAAAAACTTCTTGAAATTTTTCAAAACCATTGTACATACCTTTTCTTGCAGGTGCCTTCTCATGGGCGCGCACTTGTTCTTGGACTTCACGTGATCGTGAGAAGTGCTTGGAGAAGAAAATTTTGCCCTGCGCTCACGATCCCGGACACATTCTTCTCTTTCCAAACACGACT